GGGTTCCAGTTTCTCCACAACCTCGCCAGCATTTGTTGCTTGCAGGAAAATTATTTATAACACTAAAAACAAACCCCAGGAACTGATGGCATATCAATTGACATATTTCAACAAACAGATGCTGCCCTGGATGTGCTTACCAAGTTGTGCCAAGAAATCTGAAGGACCACCACCTGGCCAACCGACTGGATGAGATCTATATTTGTTCTCATTCCAAAGAAAGGCAATTTAAAAAAGTAATAAAAAATGAAAGGAAATTCAACAGAGTGGAAATTATCCAACAATATCATTGATACCACATGCAAGGAAGATTCTGCTGAAGATTATCCAAAAACGACTGGAACAGAGAACTGCCTCAAGTGCACACTGGATTTAGAAGAGACCATGGCACTAGGGCTATTATAGCTAATGTCAGATGGAGCTTGGCCGAAAGCAGAGAGTACCAGAGGAATGTCTATCTGTGTTTCATTGACTATGCAAAAAAATTTGACTGTGTGGATCACAACAAACTGTGGCTGACTCAGAAGAATGGGAATCCCAGAACACCTGATTGTGCTTATACAAAACTTATACTTGGACCAGGCGGCACTCATCAGAATGAAGCAAGAAAACACTGCATGGTTCAAATTTGGGAAGGTTATGCATGAAGGATGTGTCCTGTCCCTATATAATTTCAATCTATAATGCGGAACAGATTATCCAGGAGGCCTGGCTCTCTGAGGAGAAGTGTGGCATCAGGATTGGAGGTAGACTCATTAACAAACTGCATTATGTAGATGACACAACCTTGCTTGCTGAAACTGAGGAGGACCTGCAGAGGGTCAAGGACTGTAGCCTTCAATAAGGATTGAAGCCCAACATCAAGAAAACAGATTTTTACCACTGGGCTGATTGGCAGCATCATGATGGATGATGAAGAGAGTGCGATTGTTGACAGCTTCAGTTCATTTGGCTCTACAATCAACACTCTTGGTACCAGCAGCCAGGAAATTAAAAGACTAATTGTATTAGGAAAATCTCCTGTCAGAGACCTCTCCAAGGTACTCAGAAGTAACGATGTCAGTCTGGAGACTAAGGTGAGCCTGATACAGGCCATGTTCTTTGCAATTACTTGGTATGCATCAGAAAGCTGGACAATGACTAGGAATGATAGGAGAGCTGATGCCTTTGAGCTTTGGTGCTGGAGAAGAGTACTGAATATACATACTATGGACTGCTAGGAGAATAAGTAAGTTCATCCTGGAGAGGGTGAAGCCAGGCTGCTCCTTGAAGGCAAGAATTCCGAAGCTCCGTCTGACATACTTTGGACACGCTGCAAAGAGGGACCAGTCCTTGAAGAAAGATGTCATGCTTGGGAGGGTGGAGGGATGGTGAAGGAGAGAAAGACCCTTGATAGGATGAATTGTTTCTGTCACTGGAGTAATGGGGATAGGCATGTCGGAAACAGTAAGATTGGCACAGGATAGACTATAGCTGGGTTTAGGGCTGTTGTACCTAGGGTTGCGATGAGTTGCAAGTGACTCAGCGGCACATAACAACGATCCTACAGGGGTTCTTGTGGCCTAGTGGTAAGAAGCCATGCTGCAATCCTGAAGGCATGCAGTTTGAATCCTCCAGCTGCTCTGCAGGAGAAGAATGAGCAATCTCCTACCACGTTATTTACTGCCTCTGAAAACCTGCTGGAAGGTTAGCTATGAGTCGATTCTTGCTTGACAGTACACAATCACAATAATCCTATAGTTTGCACAAACTGATCGCAAGAAGGCCTATTTCTTCTAGATGCTACTGTTGCTAGCTAGATGATATTTCAGTGACAACAATATTAGTCTTTCCAAGTCTCGGCAAATTGTTTATGAAGCCATGATTCTTAGTTGAGTAGCCACTTAGGGAACGATCCCACTTTACAAACTGCCTCAAGGTTAGGAAAGGACATGTATGACACAGAGAGTCAGAGCAGCTCTTGGCCCAGTGGTCCAGTCTGCCGTGTGACTCGCATGAAGAAGCACTTCCATGATTGGCTTCCACGATGCTCCCTCACTGAGTACAGAGGACGCAGAAGAAACATAATGAAATTTAATTGAGCAATAGCCAAAGCAAGGGATCTAAAGGCTAATTTTAACTTTTCCTAAACAACTCAGTGTTATCCAATCAGAGACTGACTTTACAACTCGCATCAAGGAAAGATGCTCTTAAGAGAGAGGTGGAGCTCTACAGACTATATAAAAGACCCAAGGGAGAAGTCAAAACCAAAACTTAGAAACCTCTCCAAGTAACCCACCTCTCAAAGCAACTCTAGACACCATGGCCTGCTGCCACACCAGCTTCTGTGGGTTCCCCAGCTGCTCCACTGGGGCTACCTGTGGCTCCAGCTGCTGCCAGCCAAGCTGCTGTGAGACCAGCTCCTGCCAGCCTACCTGCTGCCAAACCAGCTCCTGCCAGCCCACCTGCTGCCAAACTAGCTGCTGTGGCACTGGCAGTGGCATCGGCTGTGGCCAAGAGGGTGGTTCTGGAGGTGTGACCTGCCGTGTCAGGTGGTGCCGCCCAGACTGCAGAGTGGAGGGTACCTGCCTGCCCCCCTGCTGCGTGGTGGGCTGCACCCCCCCAACGTGCTGCCAGCTGCACCACGCCCAGGCCTCCTGCTGCCGCCCATCCTACTGTGGAAAGTCCTGCTGCCGCCCTGCCTGCTGCTGCCACTGCTGCCAGCCTACCTGCTCTGAGCCCACATGCTAAAAGCTATGCTGCTGACTGCTTAGGAATCAAAGAAGAAGGGAAGTAAACTGCGCTCAACTGAAGTGCTCATTTTTTACCTGAATGCTCCATAGCATCCTTCCAAAGAAACAGAAGTTTTAGACGCCCTTTGGGGTGTTTAATTAGTTCACTGAGAACTTGCACCAAGGCAAACCTTATTCCTGACTTCAGCAATGGGCATCCCTTCACTTCAATTACATCCCTGATCTCCTCCCTATTTCTTCAGCTCCACCTATGCAACACTTGCTTTCTCCTTTACTATCTTCTGTTAATTTCAAATAAAATGCTTAAATGTGTAAAGCAAACTGCATTACTGTCTTTTTTGAATAGCTACACCTGGAATTCAAGAAGAGTGGATTTGCCTTTTGATGATAGTACCATACACTCTATGTACATACCACAGGTATACATAAACTCTAAACACAAGAATGAAATAGAAATTGAATTAATTATACTTTTTTACATCAAGTAATAAATGTTCAGTGCTTTAAATCTTCTTTATAGTTCATCAAATACTCATATGTAATCAAACAAACTTGACTTGGTTTTAACTCATATTGACCCTGCAGAGGGTTTACGACCCTGTAACTAAGAAGCAGCTTTCTCCTTCAGAGCTGCAAATGGATTTGAACCAATGGAGAGCCATATAGCCTTTGGGTTCGCAGAAAAACTCACTACAGACTCTGCCACTGGCTCTCCTCGTTTATTGAAATTAAATGTAGATTCATCAGGGCGTTCTTAGTTAAAATTTTCAGTTTCACCAAATTTATGAGGTTCTTTCCATATGTTCTGATAACATCTTTAATTACTTCCCATTTATATGCTAGATACTCTCCTTCATGCTTATCCAAATCTTAAGAAATTTACTCTCCATTACATAAATATTATGTATAGGCACCAGATACAACTTTCAAGAGCAGCTGCATTTTCACAGGCCTTAGCCCATCACATTCTTCCCCTTGGACTTCCAATGACTTTACATGTTTCAACTATCTGCTAGTCTTTACTGTAAGCCTTTGGTCTAAATGATAGAGCAAATTTGGAGAGCACTGAATCCATCTATCACCAACTCTAGAGGTATGGTGTCAATTCTGACACAGATGTATTCTGTACATTGCAACTCCACATGAGACCACAAACACAGATCAAAAGCTTTCTATGTTCAATTATTCAATTTATTATTAAAGTACTATGTGGGTGCACAAAATACAGTGGAATACAAATGTGTGACACTTTGAGAAAAATATTTCCAAGTTATTTTGCAGCTCCCAGTACTTATCTTTCTAAAAATATCAACAATGAACCACATACAATATAATAAGTGTGAGAGCTTCTGAGAATAAAATAGGTAACAGTATATTTTTCAAAGTGTCATAAATCCCTTTATTCCTGAGCCTTGGTCCAACTATTAAGTCTAGAATGAAACCATTCTTAGTCTTTTTAAAATGAGAAATAACAAGGAGTCATTCATGAGAACTACTACAGCTTGGCAGTTAAATGGTACAGGTATCCAAAAAGCATTTACAAGTGCTACAGATGTCCATGAATCATGCCTTTTATTGCACTCTTTCAAATACAGACTCAATAAACATGTATTAAGGTTCTACCACAAGCTAGGTACTCTGCCAAATACCTTCATAGGGTCTTTATGATTCCATTCCTGAGAGATTTCTGTCCTGAAACATAAATAACATCTTACACATTTCAAATTAACTGAGACCAAGAAAACTATAATAGTAATTTGGTTTCATGTTAGAATAAATAAATTGGAAGCTTTCATTACATATGGCCAAAGGGGCATCTTCAATTCAGTAAATGTCTTTCACTCAAGAGAAGTCTTTGTGTTCAGGAGAAATAAGTTGAAGAGCATAATTATCCTTCACTTTAGACATGTGGAGGTAATGTCATATAAGAAAATCACCTGTTAAAAATGAGGGTCTTGACATGGACTGAAATGGAAAGACTCTTTGAACCTATTCAAGAACAAATGTATTCCAAAGAGCGAAGGAACTGATGTGACGCATCGTAATGGCACTATAAAAACAAAGCAATTCCCCAACTGCTACTCATAATGCATCATAGGTATTTCAGTGGACGCCAATCAGAGGACCACTGAAGAATACATTTGGACAAAAACAAAGAAAATATGTTAAGAATTTTAAAAATAGCAGCTGGTCAGGATATATAAAAGGTCCATGTGGCAGTCACCACCAAAACTCAAGAGACTTCCCCAGCCAACCAACTCCTGAACCATGGCCTGCTGCCACACCAGCTTCTGTGGGTTCCCCAGCTGCTCCACTAGTGGGATCTGTGGCTCCAGCTGCTGCCAGCCACAATGTTGTGAGACCACCTGCTTCCAGCCCTCCTGTTGCAACACTGGCTTTGGCAGTGGCATTGGCTTTGGCCAAGAGGGTGGCTTTGGAGGAGTGACCTGCCGTGTCAGGTGGTGCCGCCCAGACTGCAGAGTGGAGGGCACCTGCCTGCCCCCCTGCTGTGTGGTAAGCTGCACCCCTCCATCCTGCTGCCAGCTGCACCATGCTCAGGCCTCCTGCTGCCGCCCATCCTACTGTGGACAGTCCTGCTGCCGCCCCGCCTGCTGCTGCCACTGCTGTGAGCCTACCTTCTAACTACAGTCCAAGCAGCTGATTTTCCATTTGCCTAGGAGACAGCATCTCTGAACTGATCATTTCCTCAACCACTTCAGGACAACTAACAAAGTTTTAGACTTCTATTTGATTATTGTTGCTGTGACTACCAGGAATATGAGCCTCACAGTCCCACCCAGCTCCAGTCTGCAAGGAGTACCTTCACCTCCTTGTGCAGACATAGACATTACGTGATCAGTTTGCAGAATTGCTTGGCTATGACATTTCCGATTTGCCTGCAGGATTGAAAATTACTGACATGTTGTGAAATATGTTCTTGAGGATTGTCCATAGGCTAATTAATGCTTTCTCTTTGATCTACTTTTAGTTTCTTTTTACCTATTTTTTTCTTCTCCAACACCAAAGGCATCAAAGTTCAACTAAGGAAGATTCCTCAGATGTCACGATGGAGAATGGAAATTATTCACCCAACATTCAACTTCTAAGAAATAGACTTGCCATATCCCAACATCTTATATAATCCCTTGAATCATAATGATCTTGCCTATTTGTTATTTCAATGTTATCTGTGATACAGTGTCTTCTGTTATTTCCTAATAAATGCTATATACTGAGCAAGAAACCGCAGTCTATGTTTTAACTTGCATGTAAGGTGACTAGTTGCTTATAATTAAAGAATATCTACTTGCTTTTGTATTAAGTAGGTATATATAGTGCATTCATTAAATAAAATTCATTGACTACACACTTCTAAGGCAGGGGCTATGGAGATCAAAAGCATAAAAACGTAGTTCTTATCACTTAATAAACATAAGGAGAAAAGATCAGAAAAAAATAAAAATAAACTTAAAGAGAAAATATATACAGAATAGGTACATAAAATGGGATGAGATAAATTGTATTCTCCTAGCAATTGAGCTCTGGTGGCTGAATAAGTGAGGAGTTGTGCTGCCAGCCCAAAGGCAGGTGGTTCAAATCCACCAGCATCTCCATGGGAGAAAAATGGACAATTTCCTCCCATGCATTTACAGACTCTGAAAACCTGCCAGAGAGTCAGCTATGAATAAGTTCTGACTCTACAGCATTGAGAGAGAGAGCGAACAGTTGGTAGAATAATTCCTCTTGAAGAGATAGATTCCTTTTGCCAATACATCTTAATAGATCAACTTGCACCAGGTGACTCTCCAAAAGACATGCATGCTGACAATTCCAAATACCTTTGAAAGGATGTAAAACAATGATACAATGAACAACAACATAAAAGAAGCATTTTTCTTTTAGAAAGGAAGTGAGGAGAAAAGAGAAGCTATCAGAAATCTAGTCAGAAGGCCATTCTTAAATTTAGCATCCTTCCTAGTAATTATCAAATTCACAAAACACTTTGGGAAGCAGTGAACTTTTTTGTAAAAACCAGTATGGACTCATGACAAAAGTCCAAAATGAAGCCTGCATAGTGAAGTGGACTAGGGAGGGGAGGGGAGATTGTATAACAATGAAATAATTTTTTTTTTTTACTTGTCACAGAGAAAAGCGAACTGGGAGGGAGGTGTGGGCAGGGAGGAAAGTGTGCAACAATGAATGAGTGGAAATAAAAAAAAACAATGAAAAATTCAGAGGCTAAAAAAAGTAATAAAGGAAGAAGGAAGGAAGGAAGGGAGGGAGGGGAGGAGGGAGGGAGGGAGGGAGGGAGGAAAAGAAAAGGGAAAGAAAATCAGAATAGCCCAGGAGTCAGAGAGAGCAATAATCCTGAGGAAAGAATTCTTCAGGAATGAGAAGGCTTTGTTTAACACGAGTTGTGGCAAGTAATGTCTTGGTTGTTTACATTGTAAAAAGAAGATACTCATTCACTCACTTGCCCATCCACTCACTGACATCAGATTGGAATGGCTCATGAGTCCCATCGACATTGATTTGGAATGCCTCATTAGGTTTTCAAGGCTGATTGTCTGTCCTCCAAGGACTCACAGGTGGAAGTGAACCGTCACAGACTTTGGGTTAGGAGCACAATCCCTTATGTGCTACCTAAAGAAGACAGATCTTCATAAACACAAATTCAGATAAAGAAGGATGCAATTTTAGAATCAGCAGGGGCTGCGTGTTGGGAGCAGAATCAGGGAAAGCTTAAGAGAGTAGGTACACTTTGACGTAGATCTTGAAGTTTATTCTATGTGGAAGGAAAATAGTACAAAAGGACCCAACAGACCACAGCTCTCATTGAGCACATCTCTACTGATCAGCCATGACTCATCTGTCAGTCATTTGTTGACATTTACCATATTTGAATATATCATTTGAACACATTTCCTGAGTAATGCAAAATGCTGTGTCGGTTTTTACAGTGGACAAGAGCAAGAGAAGATGCTGAAGAAAAGTCCCAGGCACAATACAAGCTGTTCTTCCATTTGGAACTGATTGCCCAAGAACATGAATGATAGTTAAGGTGTCTATGAAAACTACAGAATTTTATGTTGAATGGAATGGTTTATAAGCACCAGTAGAAGAATTACACAGAAGATTTATGGGGTCTGGAACAACACTGTACTCTCTGTTGGAACTCAAAACGAAAAGAAAAAAGCTGCAAATACCCATTAATAATTAGAACATGAAATATATGAAGTATGAATCTAGGAAAATCGGAAGTTGTCAAAAATAAAACACTTATAGATCAATATCTTGGGCATTAGTGAGTTGAGATACACTGGTCTTGGGCATTTTTTTTCAGTCAGACAATTATATAACCTACTATGCCAGTACCTCTCCAAGGAATAGCCTCTCCTAGCAACACTCCCAAGGTATGTTAGACAAAGCTTTGTCATCTTTGCTTCCAAGAAGCACTCTGGCTGCACTTTCTTCAAGACGTACCTGTTTGTTTTTTTAGTAACCCATGGTATATTCAGTACTCTGCTTAATAACACAGCTCAAAGGCATCAATTCTTCTTCTGTCATCCTTATCCACTGTCTAGCTCTCAGGTGCATAGCAAGTGATGGAAAAAAACCTGGCCTGAATCAGGCACATGTGAGTCTTCAAACTGAAGACATCATTGTTCCCATCAAGCTTGGAAAGCTCAAAAAAAGAGAGGAAGCCTCTCAAGAATGATTGATACAGTTACTGCAGCAATGGGCTTAAGTGTGTCAGAGATGATGAGGATGGCACAGGACAGACCAGGGTTTAGATTTGTTATTCATAGTGTTACTATCATACTCAACTCGATGGCACTTACCAACAACTCTACCAATAATGAAAATTGGAAAGGAATGGTGCCACATTCATTCTCAAAAAGGACACTTCAAAGTCTATCCCAAAGTACAATGTTGTGATAGGATATTATCCATATGCCTAGAAGGAAGATCTGTTAATACAACTATTATTCAAATATACTCATCAACTACTAAAGCCTAAAATGAAGAAATTGAGAATTTTAAAGTTCTGTCTCACATACTTTGGGCATGTGACCAGGAGGGACCAGTCCTTGGAGAAGGACATCATGCTTGGAAGGGTGGAGGGACAGCAGAGGAGAAGAAAGCTCCAGATTAATGGATTGACACAGTAACTAGGGTAACGGTATGGGTAGGTAGGTGTGCAGGAGTCAGTGAGACTGGTTCAGAACAGGGAAGGGTTCAGAGTTATTGTATATAGGGTCGCTATAACTCACAGGTGACTTACTAGCAGATAACAACATTCAATTTTTTCAGTCTGAAGCTGATTGAATATACAATAAAGATTCATTAATAATAATTGATGGCTGGAATGAAAAGTTGGAAACAAAGAATAAAAAATATAATCTTAGTGACAGAAATGAAGTTGGATAACATGCTAAAACTTTGTATAATTATGTATTCACTGCAAAACCTTTTTTAAAAAACTCAACAAAACATAAACAGCTACTATACACATTGACTTCAGCATTCTATGAAGGAATTAGACTGTCGCTATCTGTGGAATGAGCAGATGAAGAAGCTCAATATCAACAGTTAAAACAAGGCCAGGGGCTGACTATAGTGGGGGGTAGGTGGGGGGAACTCATTAACTACTCTTCTGTAAGTTCAAACCAAAGATGAAGAAAAATGAAAACAAGTCCATGAGAACCAAAATATAACACTTAGTCTACACCAATTGAATTTGAAAACTCTCTGAATAACAGATTTAATGCACTGAACACTAATGACTGAAGACTAGACAAGCTGTGAAAGATGTTTTCCATGAAGAAAGCAAAAGGTCATTACAAAGACAGGAAAGAAAGAAAATAAATGTCAAGGGGGAAAAAAACCCTCAAAACTTGCACTGGAATGAACAGAAACTGAAACAGAGGAGAAGGAATGTTGAAGTAAGAAAGCTGAACAGATTTTAAAGGGTGGCTCAAAAAGGCAAAGCCAAGTGTGGTAACAAAATGTGCAAAGATGTGGAATTAGAAAACCAGAAGGAAGAACATCCTTGGCATTTCTCAAGCTGAAGGGATTGAAGAATAGATTTAAATTTCAGGTTAACAATACTGAAGAATTTTAAGGGGGAAATTGCAAATGATGCAGGAAGCATCAAAAGAAGTTGGAAGGAAAAAAACAAAGAAGTTGGAAGGAATACACAGAGTGCATTATAAAGATTTAGTGTACACTGAATCATTTTAAGAGTAGCAAATGATTAAGAACCATTGGTACTGAAAGGGAAAGTCTAACTTTGACTTGAAGGCATTGGCAAAAATGAGACTCCAGGAATTGGTGGAGTTGGGACTCTAGGAATTAAGGTGGTTCAGCACACAGATACAGCCCTGAACATGTTCGCCAGCCTTTGTCAAGAAATTTAAAAGACAGCTACCTGGCCAACCAACTGGAAGTGACCCATATTTGTTCCAATTCTATTAAAAAGATGTTGCAGCAGAATGCGGAAATTACTGAAGAATGTCATTAGTATCACATGCAAGTAAAATCTTGCTGAAGATTATTAAAAAATAGCTGGAATAGTACATTGACAGGGAACTGTGAGAAATTCAAGTGGGATTTAGAAGGGGCTATGAAACAACAAAAAA